ATATATATATATATATATATATATATATATATATATATATGGGGAGTGATTACACGATGTCATTGCAATATCATGAAATGACACTTCTTAGGAACTTTGCATGGCTTTTGTATGACACGAAAAATTTCACACACCCTCTCTTCATCCTGATAGTCAATTGCCAAAAAAACAAAATTCAATTTGCACCCTTGATTTGGTCTAAATGAGTTTCTATCTAAAAGTGAATCTAGACCATCCATTTGGTGAAATTCAAGATCTAGTCCTTTACAAACTCAAATTCATTTTTTTCTTTTTTAACATTGTTCATCTAATGAGAATAAAACTCTCTAAAAGAATTTGAAAGGGGAAAAAAAATCCTTCTAAGGCCTGCAACTTAGCATCTTACAAAATGGATGCTTATGTTAATTGGGCTAAAAAACCACTTTCTAGGGTGTGTTTTCAATTTTTTTTTTTGTGATTTTTCATGGGAATGAAAATTGCATATATTAAAACAATGGGGTCAAACAAATGGGCTAACATGGTTTTTGAATATTTTTCATTGTACTACTATACAACTATTGCATGAAATGCTCCCCATATATATCATCAGGATTTAAAAAATTTCTCAAGTCTAAACAAGGTTTAGGATCCTCATTTCGTTCTAAAAATAATATTTTTATGACATTAAAACATTATTTAATATGATATGGGGTGCTTTAGTCCAAGTCCTGATTTAGTTAGGACTTGGACCAATCACCCACTTGTTCCAAATTGAACGAGGAAACCAGGCGGTCTGCCCTAGTTTTTACCAACTGATTTTTAAAATACTGCTCTCAATACCTTGAAACTTTATTGGTGTTTTCTTTAAAAGTTGTGCGGAATGTGAGGTCTTCTACCTTTGGTAGGGCTCCTTCGACTCTTGACAAAGCCATCCTCAACATGAGTATCAAGCTTTCCTCAATAGGGTGTCTTACAGTTTGAGCATCCTTATGGAAAGTTTATGCTTTGATTTCCAATGTTTGAATATCTGTCTCAATGTTAAATATAATAATAAGACCATTATCTAATTGGTACTAAAATCAAACCACCTTTTTGGTATGATTTAGGGTTTTAAACTCCATCAATGCGAATGGGAATCTTACAATTTGATCGGAACCTGTGAAGGGCCTATTAGGGTCCCAAAACTCCGATATTCCCAAGCTCTCTTTGGTTTTTATTTTCGATTATCTATTTAATTCCTTTGTTATTCGACCCTATGTGAACTTGTTGATTCTAGTGTTGTTTTCCAATTTGGACTGGCCCAACCGGTGATTGGTTTGTTAGGCTGACCTAGTTTTTAAACCTTGCTTGAATCTACATCCATATGTTGGTTGTCGTTCAATGATTGTAGGTTTATTTACTTGCAAAACTCACCACTTAGCAATTGATGCAGATATTTAAGAAGGAAAACAAAAAGTTAGCAAATTCTAAGCAAAGCACAATGGCAAGTTGAGGTGAACTAGGGTTTCCTCCCCAAACTGTAATTTGGGAGTAAAAGTTCCTTTTCATTTTTTGTCTTATCAAAGTCATGTGATTGGCCCTATTA